CAGGGTGAGTCTGGCCCTGTGCAGCCTTTGTGTCGGTCTGCAGGGTGAGTCTGGCCTTGTTGCAGCCTTTGTGTCGGTATGCAGGGTGAGTCTGGTCCTGTTGCAGCCTTTGTGTCGGTCTGCAGGGTGAGTCTGGCCCTGTGCAGCCTTTGTGTCGGTCTGCAGGGTGAGTCTGGCCCTGTTGCAGCCTTTGTGTCGGTCTGCAGGGTGAGTCTGGCCCTGTGCGGCCTTTGTGTCGGTCTGCAGGGTGAGTCTAGGGCCACTCACGCCTGCTATTGAGCATATTCTCCTTCTAAACTATTTCTAAACAAGGAGACTTATGCGCATAAAGATCAGGTGTTTGGATTCTGGGGTTCAGAGAAACATGAATCACTAAGCTGCAGCTACTGATCCACGCAGCTCTGCATAACATTCAATAATCTTCATAGGTGATGTAATAACTGGGTTTCTGTAGGACACGCCCCCTTCCTGGGGTTATTGGTTTTGTTTCTTTGTTTTCTCTTTCCTTTGATCCATGAAAGCAAACGGTTGGGCTGCCATCCATCACTGGGTTCTCAGCGCTGGACACGGGGAAGAGGAGGTGTTCCTGGACTGGATGGAGGAGATGGAGTCACTGCAGAAGCTTTCAGGCCTGAGCTGCAGATCTTCATGTGTTTCTTTGTCTCTTTCTGACTGATTCCTGATTGGGTCGGCGCTGCTCAGACCCGATGGTTTGGATCTACTGACACTTCAAAATGAGGAGAGGTGAAGGAGAGGTAGAGGACGGAATAAATCAGATATAGAGCTGAGGAAGATGAGGGAGTAATGGCTGAGGTGAAGAAGAGAGGAGGAGGAGGAGGAGGAGAGGACAGGGGGTGAAGGACGGGTCAATCAGAAATGGATCTTTGGGGAAAAAATGGAATCAGCTGAGATAAATTTACAACCAGAACCATCAACCTGGATGACGACATGGATCTATATAGATGAGCATATATAGATTGTGATGTCCTTACGTGTGCAGGGGGCAGAGGGGCTGTCCAGAGGAGTCCGGAAGTGGTCTTCTTCGCACACACACACCACAGATCCTTCCTCCTCCGCCACACTATTGGCAGGACAAGGAAAACACTCCTGCTGTCTGGAGGACATCTTGTAGGATCCGGGGGGGCACGCTGCGAACAGAACACACTGCATCAGAAACGCTTCCTGAACATTAGAGCATCACAGAGCAAAACCATCCATCCTACTGCCACCCAGACC